GCTTTCTTTGCATCGATGCTCTTCTCTTCTTCAAGTCGGTCTTCATCCTTTCGCCTTCGTTTCCATTGATGCTCCGTTCAATCAGCTTTGACTTCCAGAAAATCAGCATTATCTAAACTTAAAATGAGTAGAATTTGATGTGTAAGATTGATTATATGCCCGAATTTTGAAAATAGCGTATAGTTCACTTATTACCTACGTTACAGAACTTAGGGATAAAGAAAATACAACATATGTTACTATTACGAGTGCATACTCAATAGCCGATTCTTTTATGGTAGGAAATCTTGATACTAAGCCGAGTGAGAAGGGAACTAGAGAGTTCCAAGGTAAGGTAAAAGATTTCATTCGAGGTTGTCACCGGTGCGGAAACCTATCGATTACACCTGTATAAAACAAGTTTATAATATACGTAGTATATGATATACTTCAAATCTATAACTTTATTAGTTTCATTTAAGTTAACATTTATCTTAACTACATATGAAACATTCAACTCGTGTATTGTCTGACAAGAATCCAACCTCTAAGTCTTTTTTGTGGTTCCGTCCAGTATTTAATAGCGACCGCAAGAGTACAACATACCCCGTATATAAATTCAATGCAACTGGTCATGTTGATTAAGACCGAATTTGTAGTTGCAGGAACGTGGTGTAATGATAGGGTTGAATGAAATATATTCCACTTATGATCAGTACAGTACGTCCACACCTCAATTGCATAAAGTTACCTAAGTAGCGGAGGCAGAATCGCAGAAGACTATGAATGAGCTTTAACTTTACCCCGCCGGCTTTATTTATTTTGCTTTTCTACGCTTTCCTCTATTTATTATGCTTCGATAACGCTCCGATCTTCATTCTTTTACTCCCTATTACAGAATTTATTACGGAGTACGGAGTACTATTACTCCTAAATACTATCTCCGTCCCAAAAAATTCTTCCCATTTTAACTTGACATGAAGATTAAGAAAGTGAAATAAAGTGAAAATGTGTGGTTGTAATTGTGTAAGAAAAATGTGAAATGAATGTGAACCACACAAATTGTCCAAAAATGGTAAGTGAGAAGAATTTTAGGGACGGTCCAAAAAGGAAAGTGGAAAGAATTTTATGGGGCGGAGGAAGTAAATATTCTTGATCAGGGCCGTCTTACCCATCCAATCCGATATAGATCTATTGACACGCTCTATGTTGTAAAACTGGACCGGTGATCGACCCGGTCAACCTGGACCTGGCGGGTCAACCCGGTCAATGCTGGGAAAACCCGGTCAACATTTATAATATTTTATAGTAGTAGTACTTAAATTAAAATAAAAAGTTACTCAGTAATTAGTTTTCACAATATTGAAATAATGTTAATACTTGGTAAACAATGAAAAGCACACATTATTTTTTAAAAAAGTTACTACGTATAATCCTATTTTAGTCTATAGTGTTACTTGAAATTTATTTTCCAATTTTATGAATAATTTTGAAATGATTTTTTTCCAGAATAACTATTCAAATATATCACATACATTTTTCTAAAAAAAATACTAACAGAACTACACTTATTTAAAACAATATTATATATATTATTGTGTGGGTATGTTTCTCTTTTATTTGTAATGTTATTTACATAGGAAAGGTATTTCCTTTAGACATGTATTACGTGAAGGTAATGAACCGGCACATTTACTTGCGGGCTTCTCTCCGGCCCATTTGACCACTTGGACTGATGTTAAGCTTCTCCCCAGTCCGATTAGAACTGCTATTCTTATGGATTTTTTTAATTTTCTATCTTTTAGATGGAGTGTTTAATTTGCTTCTTATTATTTTGGTTTGTTGGGGGAGGTTTTGGTATAATCCCCCTCTCCTTTTGTTTGTCCTCTTTTATTTGCCTCATTGATTTTAGTGATTTGCTTTCCCGGGTGTAAAAAAACTAGAAAGTAAATGGATAGCAATAACATTTTAGTATTGGTAGTTATGTTAAAACAGAAAAATACAGAGCAACTGCTAGTAGTATAATTACGGTAAACATACATTCAATCCCAACTGGGTATAGTTGTGGCTTGGAGCGGATAATGGTGTGTGGGGTGGTAGACAGGGATCGACTCCCGATTAAGGAATTTTGGCCTGAGCGATAAATTTCAGTCATTTTCCGGTTTAACTGGGTTTACCGGTTATTTATGGTTCCGGGTCTGATATGGGTTAGAGCTAGTTATTGGATTTTTCCGGGTTCTGGGCCTTTTACGGGTTGACTACTGACCGGCCCGCATTAATGGATGGGTGGGCGGGTTCCGAGTCAGACCGTCCGGTCCATGTCGGGTTTTAAAACCCTATATGCTACATCCTGGTGTACGGTCATCGCTGTAAATCCGGTCTAATTAAGGAAGAAAGCGACCCATTAATTGATACAGCTCATAACCAAAAGGTCCAAGTTTGTGAGGCAGTGACATTTTCGTTATTTAAGAGAAAAATCACGATTTTCGCTAAATGAACATTAATGTGCTTTTAGTGAGCATCTCGCCTCTTTTATTGAGTAATTTTGCTTCATATCTTCTAATTCACTTTTTCTTTTATAAAACTTACTAAATTATATGTATAAACGATTCATATGAATTTCAATATGCGAATTTAATGTTATATAATACTTTTGAAATATGCATTGCTATGACATTTTACAAATGAGCATAACATCAGTACCACACGCATGAGCATATGCAACTTACAAAATGTGCATTAATACGAAAATTGTAAGGTTTGTTAGTTGAACGTCACGTCATTTTCATTGAGCATCAAATCTCTTCTATTCAGACGAAAATCACGGTTTTTGTCAAATGATCATTCATGAACTTTTAATGAGCATTACATTTATTTTGTTGAGTACTAGAAGTATAATATTGAGCATCGTGATATTTTTGAATTATGAATTTATATGACATTTTAAAATGAGAATAATGTCACTACGAAATGAGCATACATAACTTATAACATGAGTATCGAAAAATTGAAAACGTCATTTGAAAATGCTAATGTGCTCAAATCCTCATTTGTCTATGTTCATTTCGTTTAAGCGCTTTGCTCATTTGGTATGTGAGAGCGATGCCGCAAGGGTTGGGGTCATGTCAATATCACTAGAATCTACTCTATACAGAGTATCAACGTTATCATCTAGAATCTATGCAACACCAGAGATGGAGGAACAACGACGAACAAGAGACACATGAATTCTGACGGATCGGAGCTATAACACCGTCCCCAAGTATAATTACTTTTTAGTAAATCATGTAATAAACTTTGAAGAATGAATTTTGAATTTACGAGGTTGTATATTTTTGTTATTTCTTTTGCGTGAATAGTAAATTTCACGTGGGGCCCACACCGGGAATGGGGACCACCCAATAAATTCCGCGACGACATATTATATTCATCTTGGTCTAGATAATATATAAATATATGGTGGTGGATATTCTAGTTGGGCCACAGAAAAGGCATAAGGTTGACCGGTTGGTCAAACGAGGCCCAATTACCGGTATTGGTAATTTATGAGATCACAGCCCGAAGTGAATTTTGAAGATTTCTAAATTAAAGTTGGAGAATGTATATTCATTTTAAAGGCCCATATTGATTGAGAACATGTGATATATTTTATTTGACCCGATAAAATAAAATATAATTAAAACAGTCTGAGAACTATAACTTTCGGGGGTGATTGTACATTTCCGGACACATTAGGATGACCTCCCACATTAGTGGAGTCCACCCCACATTTTTGTGTGCTCAAAGTTGACTTAAGGGTGCTGCATTATGGGAGAGTGGTGTAGAATAGATGAGAGTGATGGGTTGGTGTGAGGATGACTAGTTGAGGTGGACCTCACATCCTAGCCATTTGAGACAAACTAATCTTACAACCCCTCCCCCTATCATGCTCAACCAAATCACCAAGGAAAGAGAGAGAAGAAGCCATGCAAACCTCCATCTCCATTGTTGAAGGAATCTCAAACAAGCAAGAAGCTCAAGGAAGAAGAAAGGAGTTGGAAAAGTAGAGAAAAACCTTGGAAATAAAGGTGAGAAACTCTTTAGTAACTTTTCTTCCACCTCTTGATTATCACACGACTTATGTATCATATGAAGGACCACTAGAATTGTTCTACATGTTTAGAAGTGTAGAATGAGGGGTTAGAAGGTTCTTCTAAGTCCAAGAACGGACTTACAAGCCAAGGTGACCGGTTCATCGAAAAATAAACTTAGAGGTTATTTGTATTGATATGGATTTTGTAACGATAAAACCTTATTTGAAACTTGTCTAAGGTGTTCCTAGTACTTTCACGGAGTTGAAAGAGTTACCGAAGTTCAAAAAAGTTCATCGGAATTTTGCCGGAGTTTAATAAGAAGAATATAATTAAAAAGAAAAACATTAAAAGTGAAATGAAATAAAAATACGCAAAGAAAAAGAAAACGACAAAAAAGAGCTATTTTGAAGAGAAATTTTACAAAAAAAAAAAACTTTCCTAATAGAGTGAGAAATAGAATAATAAAAATGGAAAAGAATTAGGAACAAAATGATAGAAAAAGTGATAAAAATGTCTAGGGATGTAAATAAAGAAAGAAATATTTTAGGGTGAAAAAAGAAAAATGAAACATGAGACCATTTTGAGCAGATTTGTGAAAAGCCAGATTATTTATATAAAGTTTTCAAAGAAAGGGTAAAAACCCTGGTATAATAGGTCATAAACAGGTTAGGGTCCAACGAAAGAAGATGAGATGAAAATGTGGGATTTTTATGGAAATACATAAAAGTGAGATTATTATGAGAAGACAAAAAAAAGTGAGATTATTCTTGTCAATTTTTTCTTTTTCTTTTGATATTCTACAAAAAAAAACAATACTTGCTAGGTTACTTTTCCATATACCAAGCTGATTTCGGTGGTTTGGCGAAATAAATAAATTACTTTTCCATATAAAGCTCGAGTTTTTTTTAAACCCACTCTGGCGTTTTGAGCTCTTGATATCGTAATTATTGAGGATGATGTTTTTCTTAAGTTGCTATACTTGCTAAGAAGAAAAGAGAGCAAATACCATAAGTTAGAATTATTTCAATTATTTCACACAGCCTTCTTCTCCGATACAAGTTTAAAGACTGTGCAGAACAAACTTTTCCTTTATTGTCGTGTATGACATACGCAAGAATAATAAAGTGACGATTTGCATTATGGTTTAATACTTTAGTTGTGCATCCCTAATCACCAATGCCAACTCTAGATTTTGCAGAAAACCGGAAATGAATTTCTTATCTTAGGTTGGTTCTTTTCTTGGGCTGGCTCCTCCTGCCGGAATGGCAAGCGGGTCGGACTGTGAGCTTGGTGCGGAAAGCGAGCGCTTCGACGCCGATGTCAGCGAGTCGGAGAGCTCCACCACTAGCACTAGCTTTTCCTGCGACCGCCAGGCCCCTTCCTCCTCTCTTTTCTCAACTTCACGCGGCCCAGGCCGGAATTCTCCACCACCGGCCCCTATCATGTTGCCGGAGGTCTTCGGTGGAAGACACGTCATCATTCCGGCAATGAAGCCCCACAAACCTGAAACCGAAATGTCAGGTGACAAGTTCTTTTTTCTTTCATTCATTGATTTTTTTTGTTCTTAAAGGATACTAACGATACATACCAGTGCTCTTAATCCTTGAGGTGCATCAGTTTAATCGAGTTATATTCTGATTTCTGACTTAAGAACATTAATATATAAGCCATTTTTCATGTCTTTCAGAAGTTGAATTGATGAAGGATCGATTTGCAAAGCTGTTGTTAGGGGAAGATATGTCTGGTGGGAGACAGGGAGTGTGCACTGCTCTTGCTGTGTCTAATGCCATTACAAATCTTGCAGGTTTGCTTTTCTAAATTACTAGCAGTTTGTTTTCAATCTTCCACATGAATTGTGTAGCTAATTGTAATCTGTAACTTTGGGTTTCCAAAACCAATCTTTGGCAGCAACCGTGTTTGGTGAGCTCTGGAAACTGGAGCCATTAGCACCTCAGAAGATATCAATGTGGGGTCGGGAGATGGAATGGCTTCTCTCTGTGAGTGATTCCATAGTGGAGCTTGTTCCTTCAATGCAGGAATCTCCGAATGGCGGTGGGGCCATTGAGGTTATGGTGCCTCAACCACGCTCAGACCTGTACATCAATCTCCCAGCACTAAAAAAACTAGATGCAATTCTTATAGACATCTTGGACGGCTTTCGGGACTCTGAATTTTATTATGTTGAACAACAGATCGAAACATGCCCTCGTTCTTTATCTACACACAGGCCTTCGATTAGGCTTGAAGAGGATGGATGGTTATTACCGCTCCCGAAGGTCCCACCAAATGGTTTGTCTGACAAAACAAGAAACCAGTTGCTTCAATGTAGGGAGTGCACAAGCCAAATTTTCAAGGCTGCTTTGGCAATAAATACCACTGTCCTTTTTTTGATGGAAGTGCCAAAAGTTTACTTGGAGAGCTTACCCAAGGTAAGCATGAATACAGTTTGAATAGCTGATACAATACAAATGATTAGTATTGGTGAGAGGGTATAATTCCACCCTTTTTATCTGAAATGGTGCAGTTAATTTTGTGGAGATTTTGTTGTTTTTAGCTACTGACCTAGTGTGTTGGTGCTTATTTCCTTCTTAAACATTGTACGGGATATGAACCAGAAACGATATCTTTTGGTCATATAATTCCTATTCCTGCTTATATTCGCTCACCATTATATTGGATTTGCTCTTTCTTCCTGCCATCTAGATGGTTCCATCTTTTTAACCTCCAGCTTTGAATCTCAGAAGTTTGAAGTCCTTTTTGTGACTAATGTTTGCATTTGGAATATGGCTCGATTTCCAAGTCCTTTCTGTTGTGCATCTTTAGTTCCTTACACTTTCCAAGTCTTGTCCATGGTTTCAGAACTACTGGAATGTTATAGGTGAGAGAGGTCCAGGTTCCGGTTCCTAATCCTAATTGAAATCGAAACTAAACCTTTGAAGGGCGAATGTTTTTTGGGTTCTGATCCCTAGAACCATAGCTGTTGTGTGCTTTGTCTTAGTTCTTGTTCCGAACTACACTTGCTACGTAACCACATTTTGTCTTCTGTTCAAACTTCTAACAACATCTTGGTTGTGAGTTTTTCAGAGTGGAAAACAGGGTTTAGGTGAAATACTGTACGCTGACATTACTAGTGGCCAATTGTCCTCGGAGTGCCTTCTTGATTATTTGGACCTCTCATCAGAGTATACAGCTTCAGAAATAGCCAATAGAGTTGAGGCTGCTATGCATATCTGGAGGCAAAAACACCACCGGAAGAAGAAGCAACGCAATCCAGTTTCCAAAAGTCGGTGGGGAGAAACGATGAAGGGCCTGATTGGTAATAATAATAATGATAATAAAGAAAGGGATAAAGTGTTGTCAGAACGAGCTGAGGCCATCCTTAGGAGCATGAAGCTAACTTTACCTGGGCTCCGCCAAACTACATTGGATATTCAAAAAATTCAGTATAACAGGGTTAGTAGACTTTATAAGTTAAATAATTCAATTAGGGCTAACCCCCGTCTTATTTGTATTTAAATAGCTATTTCAATGATCGTTGTTACCAAAAGACGGCGACCAGCCAGGCTCTATAAGTCATATATATAAGATCTATTATTTCTTATGTAGGATGTTGGGCAATCGATCCTTGAGAGCTATTCTAGGGTGTTGGAGAGCATATCATTCAATCTGATGGCAAGGATAGATGATATGTTGTACATAGATGATGTCACCAGACGGCGTGCTGTTGTAGAGTTCAGCCGCAGAGGATGTTATCTGCAGAGACATGCTTCTTCTAGCTCGCTTTCATACCAACGAAAACCTTGCATGTCGTTACGTACAGGCAAAGCATCATCATTAATTAGCTGATAGTCAATAACCAATGCGTTTTTTCCCTCTTCCTAGAGAAAAGCATATACTAGTAATATTTTTAACATTTTCTGATTTTCTACAACTTTTCTGTTAAGGATGGTTCTCTTAGGCTGAATTTTCAAATTTGGCCTGGTTTAGCTAAGTCTGGTCAATCATAAGAATATGCAACACACAATTTATTCTGGGACAAGATCCTCTAATTCCAAGTTTCCAATTCAACACATATATTCCTAGCAGATAGATATTACAATGTTTCCATGCTTATTTAATATATAATCCACTTCAAAATTCAGTATAATCTCTTAAATACACACATGATGGGAATCTATCTTTTAGATAAAATACCATATGATGCAGTTTTAGAATAGAACAATGCATCATATGGCCATGTATAATGGCTTCTATTGATGTGTCATGTTTACGGTATACGCACGGGCATATATACCTTATTTATTGAATCTGGACGATTGGACGGGCGTGTTTAGTAGAAGGGGAAATGCTCTAAATATGATTAAAACAATGACAATTTTCAACAATAGGACTACCATTGCTTTATTTCCAAAATATGATTCATTCACTCCTATGTGTCAGCTCCTTAACCCATGCATATGTTCTCATGTAGTTGGTTTATCGATCGAGGTGTTATGTTTCAAATAAACATAATGACTACATATATGTTATTCCCAAGAGGTTAGTTATTTGGTCATAAAGAAAGAAACTCAATTGAATAAATAAGATTCATACATGAATAAGGTGATACAAACTAATGCTAAGTTGGTTGTCATATTTAGGGAAAGCTTAAACACAACCTGTTTTAACATAGGTAAACTTCCCAAGTTTATGATGGGATTAAATTAATATGAAATTAAGCACTTCTATATTAGGCGAGGAAACGCGCGAACGAATTGCTTGTCTGATCTATCTGGAGGTGGCCAGTTAACCAAAACGTTGTCATCATCATATTATGATCGAGTTCAATTTGTTTGGGTCCATCTGGCCGGCCGACAGATCATGCATGGGTGGAGGTGTTAATGGATGATATGAAGAGGCTTTGGTTGAGCCATGATCCTTCTTTTCCACAGATTAATTTCCTTCTTCCTTGGTTCCTGTTGCGGCAGCGGCGGCTTTGTCGGTGGTATTGTTGTGGTTTCTTGATCTTCTTCTTCCTCATCTGAACAATATACTATCCCACTACGGGCTTGCGCCTGCCGCGTAGGACAAGTGAATTCAGACAGCATCGATATCTCTCGGCCGCTCGCAAAGTGCTTGATCTGACCCAAACCCATTGGCGTCCCTTTGTCAGCCGAAGCATCAGATTTCCTTCCGTGATATAATACATGTTTCCCAACATGAGAATAAGACGAGGAGGAGGAGGATGAAGAGGGTTTCTCCTTAAACGGCGGCGTGGTTGTCGCAAGAGACCACCTGCCGAAGTCTTCCTTATCACGGCTGCCACCACTACTACTACTCTTATCTTCTTCTTGCCTCTTCTTACTGATCTTGATTTGACCAATGCATGAAACTTTGGGAGAGGTTGGTTCTCCATGCCTATGCTGCTGGGTAGTCGGTTTTCTTCGGGCGTCTGCCGGAATAATGGATACGACCGGACCGGAAAATCCTTTCTTGCAATGGATCTTCGTCATCTTCATGAGGTGTTGATGATGTGCAGCCTCTGTCCTCTTATTACTATGTGTGTGGCCACCACCGCTGCGGGGGCTAAACACTGGGCGTAGGCTTTGTGGGAAGGCAACTGATTTTGGCAACAGTTTCCATATCTTTCCCTTATGAGATGCCTTATTCACTGCTTCTGGCATGTTTTTAATTTTAACTGTACCTTTGGAATACGTACGGAGAAATAATTAATGAAGATGATGAGGAGGCCGGCCGGCCGGCCAGCAGGGACGCCGTCAACGACCAAACGTACATAGAAAATTATATATATTTCTACCATCGATCAGGATGGGAGCGTGTCTGACTGGACTTGGCACGCATTTTTTTCAAGAAAAGAAGAGGCACGCAGAATTTAAGTGTTTATTATAAATTTTACTCGGTAGATTAGTCAATTCCTTGACTATTTAATTTTGTGGGGTTTTACATACACGTATGTATGTATGTATGTGTCTAAGTGTGCATTGAATTGTTGTTGTTAGTCGTTCAATTCTTGAGTAATATAATGGATCATATCACGCGTATGCAGTGGCGGAACTACACTAGAGAGAAATTTTCAGGTCCAGCACATTTCTTGAACATCGATGTTTGGGGTGGTTCCCGTTGGAATTTTTTGATGAAATTTTTTGAGCATGTTCCTTATCAAGTCTAGTTTATCCATACTAAATTTCAACTTAAAATTCAATCCGGAAGGCAGTAAAATAATTTTTTGAAGTTAACTTCGTTTTTCTATGTATAATTTGGCGCAGTTAACTCCAACAAATTGTTTGACTGCCTTCGCGATCGAATTTTAAGCTGAAATTTGGTATGGATAAACTAGACTTGATGAGGAACATGCTTAAAATATTTCATGAAAAAATTCCACCTGGAACCTCCCCAAACAGCAGTGTTCGGACGACGTTCGGACCGGGGGCTGCTGGACAGGAGAATGACTCTATACATATATATTATACAGGGTGGTCGACAATCAACTTTTGAATGTAAAAATAATTTAGAACCACAATCAAATTTGATATTGATCAATGTTAATGAGGCAGCCTGAAAAGAAAATGTAAGAAAAAATCTTAACAAAACAAAGGGAGTAATATATTTATGAGCTCGACTACTAACGTTGAAGCTTGGAGGGTTGATTACATTGAGAGGGTTTCTTTGGAATTTGCCGGAATTAGGCCGGAATAAGTGAATAACGCTGGCGACCACTAGATCTAGCGACTGATCGAGAGCATGGGCGGAGCTAGGGGTGGGCCAACTTAGATCATGGCCCACCTCAAATTTTAAAAATTGCTTAATTTCTAAAAATATTCTTTGTACCGGACCAGCCCGACCTAGTGCTCTGCCTCCGCCCCTGATCGAGAGCATTATTGTTTTGAGGTGACTGGCATAGCGGCTTTGCTATTGTTTATTTTGGGCTATATCCATGTACTGAGCTTGTTATTTTTTGTGGTTGTGGATAGTCAGACTCAAGTTTGACAAGGAATTCATATGAATCGATTTTGTACACATATTTCTAAAGGTAGTAAAGAGTCGAGTCTTCTGAGGTAATGTGCCCCTCCAAGATCACGAAGCTGGTTCCGCCACTGCGCGTATGTATATTGCTGGGTGACTGAAATGGACAGATCAATATAGCATGCAATGCATATATTGAACCTCAGCTCGGTAATCTGTATATATATACATATACATACTCCGTTGAATTAATTGTACTCGTACCACAGAAGCAAGCATATTATTGAACCTTGTATTCAAATCTTTTTTACCCATTTGTTTTAGAGAAAAGGGCGGGGTGGGTCATCCTACTCAAATCTTTACCCATTCATTTTAGGGAAAAGAGATCATCTCATTTAAAGTAAAGTTGTATTCAAATTTTTAACTATTCATTTTAGGGAAAAGTACATTAAAAATACTTGTGGTTTTTAAATAGATGTAAATGAGAACACTTGAAAAAACTAATACTCCCTAAATAAATACTCCCTCCGGTCCCTATTAAAGTTCCCAATTTGACTTCACACACATTAAGAAAATAAATTTGACTTTACTGTGGAGTACACTGTTTGGCACTGTTTGACACTGTTTGGACACTGTTTGGCACTGTTTGACACTGTAAGATCCATAGCATAGCCTCAAAATCTCAATCAAAACAATATACTTCGAATATATATATTGGCTTCCACCGGTGGCTCAAAATAGAGAAATGGTTCCGTTTTGTTGGGATTGTATTCCATCTTTTCCGGCTCAGGTCTCCAACCTCCGGCTCACACACACCACTCTAGGGTAGATCTCTCCACTCACCAAGCTTTTTCTCCTACCACTAAGAAACCTCTCTTAACTCTCATACAAAGGAAGGAGAAGAAGTTTATAAAAGGGCTGAAATGAATGAAAATGCTTGTTCTGTGATTTATTTGAACTTATCTGATTCTGTGATTAGAAAAGTTGGAATTTTAGAGAGTGCTAAAATTCTGTGGAATAAATTAGACGAACTGTATACTGAAACCTCTCTGTCTAGCCGGATGTTTTTACTTGAGAAGTTCTTCCAATTTAGACTAGATATGTCTAAGGATATTGAGGAAAATCTAGATGTCTTTACCAAACTTATTTCTGATATTAAGTTGTGTGGTGATAAGTATATAGATGATTATTCCCCTATTGCTCTTTTAAATGCTATTCCTGATTCCTTTGGTGATGTGAAATCTGCTATTAAGTATGGTAGAGATAATGTGACTCTTGACATTGTGGTTAATGGTCTTAAGAGTAAGGAATTAGATTTAAAACAGATGGGTGAGGGTAGAAAATCCGAGGAGGTTATGCATGTGAGGGGTAGAGAAAATAATAGGCGACATAGATCTTGATGGAGTATATGGCCTGGGAACCCCCGGCCCACAGACTCCTATTACTCCAATAAAGGCCCAACAGGCCCAGAAGGCCCAACAGGCTCAAATCACGGCGCCCAGAGTACCAAGCAGCCCACAATGCGCACCAGCGGTGCCTTCGGCCCCCTGGCCGAAGGCTCTAACTCTCACAGGAGGGCCAAGGCAGCAAAACAAAGTTACTGGGGAAAACGGTAAAAAACAGTAGCCCTCAGCACCTGGAGCCCTCGGCACCAAGGGGGTCCCCCGTACTCAGAGCCCTCGGCTAGTCCTCCACAGCCGAGGGCATCCTTCCCCGACATGATATCCGCGCCACATGCGTACAGATCGCCGTGCCCTGTACAACGTCCCATCCAACAGCCGCATTAAATGCGGCCACATGCGGTTGCCAGCGCCAACCAGATGAGGTGACCTCTCGGCCAATGGACGCTTGACACGTGTCCCTGTCCGGCATTTATTGCTACTATAAATAGCTCCCCTTTTTCCCATTTGTAACCAAGTGATAAACACTGCATACTTTCTAAATATACACTCTCTCTCTTACTTATTCGCTTTGACTTCTCTCTAGTCATTCCCCGTAGTAACCCCTCAGATAAGCTACCTCCCGGGTACAATATCCATCATTTGGTGTTCTCGTTGAGAGGACGAACAATCAAGTAAGAAACCCTCCCCCCTCGCCAAACACTAGGCCTCTACCCAAATGGTGAGAACAACACGTGCCAACTCCAAAAACGTAGAAGACAAGAACCTGGCCCTCGGCGACGTCAACGCCCCTGAAGCCTCTCACAGGGCTCCCGAGAGCGGTGGCATCGCTGGGCTGGAACAGGCGGCTATCGACCTATGCCTTCAGATCCAGCAGAATGCCCCCGATGCCCGCCTCGGCATCGAAGGCAAGAAGAAGAACCGGAGCGATGACCAAGTCAGCCCTCCGGTTCTCACCATCGACGTTCATTCGGCGCTCTCCGCCTTCATCCAGACGCTCACTCAGAACCCGGGTGCCTTCGGCACCCTGGCTCCGGCTCAACCCCAGGTTGGGGAGAACAACATGCTTCCCCCTCTGCCACACCCCTTCGGAAACCCCATCCCTCGGATTGGGAATGACGAAGGGGTAGTGGCCCAAGATACGGCCTCCCAGGATGTTCAGTCCCGGGACCGCCACAATGACAACAAGGAAAGGCCCCGCACTTCCGCCATCAACCGGCTCGGAGGGGGGCAAGACCACCGAGGGGTCCCAGACCGCCTCGGAGGAAAGGCACTCCAAAGGCCCCAGGAAAGCGGAGGGTCTGTCTCGAGGGCAGACGAGGAGCGTCCTCCTCGGGACAAAGGCAAGGCACCCCTTCATGCCGACGATGCTCGCCACCAAATCAACCAGGCCCACTCGGCCCGGGTTCGTTCGCAGGGGGGCGGAGACCCTCCTGAAGGACCCCCGGGACGAAATTATTGCGGCCCTCCAACGCCGACTTGATGAAATGGAGGCCAACAAAGCTCACGCCACCACCTCCACCCCTCATTCAGACCTCAAATACGAGGCCATGATGGCCAAAATGGAGGAATTACGGAAGAAGGTAGCCGAGGGCTCCGGGGAACCCATCATCCAGCTCCGGACCCGGACGCCATTCACCCCAAGAGTATTGGCGGCCCGGATCCCGGAAAAATACCGAGGGCAACACATACAGCCCTACAACGGGAAGACGGACCCCCAGGAACACTACAGCAAATATCAGAACATCATGATGATGGTAGGGACGTCGGACGAATATTTGTGTCGTTGGTTCCTCTCCACCTTAGAGGGGCCGGCATACGAATGGTTCAACCGGTTGCCCGAAGGCTGCATTGATTCGTGGCAAGAACTCGCCCAGCGATTCTTGACGCAATTTGCCGGGAGGCGTCGCACGAGGAAGAATTTCTCCCACCTCCTAACCATACGCCAGAGGAGGGATGAGACCCTTCGGGACTTCCTGGAGCGCTGGAGAACGGAAGCCGACAAAGTCGACGGTGCTGACGACGGGACCCTCCTGGCCCTCCTACAAACCGTCCTCCGCACCGGCAACTTTTCAAGGAGCCTCATCATTGAACCCCCCCCCCCCCCCCCCCCCCCCGCGACTACATAAGGGCCCTGCAGCGGGGGGACCGATATGCCGAGGCCCAGGAGGTGGAGAAATACCACCAGCATCCGGATCAGCAACCCCCGAAGGCTGACAACAAGAACAACCGGGGGCTCCTCCAAATCAGCCCAAGGCTTCAGGACCCCCTGATAACCGCCCTCGGCAAGGCCAAGCCAAGCCCGGGGGAGGTTATAAGAACAGCCCTAAGACTTGGGCACAGTCCATTCTCCTGGACCGCCCCCGGACACCATTGACGCACCCCGTCAGCATCATCCTTGATTTTGCCGAGGAGAGGGGCCTCGTTGAGCGCGATTCTCGCGCACCCCGGAGGTACATGCTATCAACCCTCAGTTCCCCTACTGTCGTTTCCATCGGCATCAGGGGCACAGAACCGATGACTGCCATCAGCTAAAGATGG